TTTTTTTTTATCATTTCACTTTATTAAAAAACCAGACACAGCTTTCTTTGCAGATTCCATAGGTTTCTTCACTCAACAGTAATAATAGCTAGCACCTATCTGGGGCTTCCCGTGTGCCAAGCATTGTTCACAGTGCTTGACAAGTACCAACTCCCTTCATCCCTATGACAACCTTGTCAGATAGGTGTCATGGTTGTTATCCCAGCTGTACAGATGAGGAAGATGGGGCACAGAAGGCTAAGTAACTTGTCCAGGGTCACACAGCTAGTAAGGAGCCTGGATTGAACCCAGGTAATCTGGCTCCCAAGACCACACTCCTATTGACTGTACTGCTTCTCATTAAATAGGATCTGGAAGCTGCACTAAAAAGTTGTAATACCAGTGCAGTTCCTCTACTATATAAAAAGTTTGAATAATTATAGCAGCAATGTTTTAGCTTCAGGACTGAGACAACCCAGCCCTGCTTCCATCTTTGCAATGAAACCAATTTATCTGTGTGTGTGTGTGTGTCATTTCTGGACATCATACTCATTTCCAGGTTCAGTTTTCTAGCATCACCTTTAGTGATCTCTTCCAATACAGACGGAGCCAACTTTCCAGGTTCTACTGGCCCCAGAGAGTGACTCTCATTTCCAGAATGGCACAACTCAGCTCTTCCCAAACGTTTTGCCTAGAAGAACTGTATTCCCCTGCCTCGACTAAGTAAAAATAAATAGCCCCCTTCCCTCCTATGTTTTATTATCCAAAGACACATATATCTGCCAAACATTGCTTCTGACCAACAGGAGATAACTAATCATAACCAGTGAACCTCAGCTCTAGCACTTATTAGCTGTGTCAACCTAGGCAAGGCCCTTAACCTCTCTATGCCTCAGTTTCCTCATCTATGAGAAGGAGGATAATGTTATCTCCCTTATTCGGTTGTTTGGAGCATCAAATGAGACAAGTACAAAGTGCTTACGCAGAGAAAGTGCCTGGTAAACATTTGTTATTTTTATTGTTAAGTTGAAGGTAATGGTAGTTCTATTTCACATGAGTTTGTCTTGAACTCTAACCCGATAAAGATACTTGGACATTTGTATTGGCGTGTTCACTTTTACTTAAGATACATGAATTATGTTAGACTTGTTAAAATATTGAAAATAATTTGTGACAGCCCCTTGCCTTATTCCTTTGTGGAAATCCAGGTATTTTGGGACCCCAGATAGGAAACAACTAGCTTAAGTTTTAGCCATGGAGGGTTCTGGATATTTACAAATTCTGCCATAATTGGCTTTTTATCCAAATTACATAATCATCGCTTGATTACTTGGGGACTGCAGTCCAATTGGAGGAAAGTCCTTGGCTTCCTCCTGCTTTCTTTATCAGTCCATTTCATGTCTTCTTGGCTCATTTCACCAAAATTCAAGGGAGATTTTGAACAGCAGAGGATAGAAAAAGAGAATCAACCAGCCAAATTTATTACTTGTTATTAATTAAGGTTGAAAGAAGAGGGTGGAACTACTGACTAATATGCATTTGAGATTTCAATCATCCCTGTCGTCCCAGTCTTCTGTCACTGTGGAAAATTATGATTTGCCCGTATGTCAGCTCCTGGGCATTTGGGCAGACAATGTTGTATAGGAGAAAAGCACAGGTATTACGGTTAGCTCCAGGTTTGAATCGTGGCATCTCTACTCACTACCTCTGTGATCCTGATCAAGCCTCTCTAATTAGCCTTGGTTTCCTCATCTGTAAAATGGAAATAATGCCCACTGTGAACATTAAATGAAATGATGTACATAAAATGCCTGGCATCCAGCAAGCACTCAATAAAAGTTAACTTCGTTCTCCTTTCTCTTTCCAGTTGGTCTGTGAAAACAAGGTGATGAGTCAATTTGGTGAAAAATGGGTAGAAAGTGGTGAACTGGCTCCACTTAGCCAAGTAATTTATTCATTAACTATATTGTCATCATCTTACCAAGTGTTACAGAATAGTCAGAATTTTGAAGGAAAAAAATGGGGAAATTTCTACAAAGGCATCAAGACCTCATGCCACCTCTCTGCCTCCAACACACTCCTTGTGTTATCTTAAGTCAATGTCTCAGATGATGATGACAGTCATTGTCACCATCATATCATGATTTTACAATGTTCCTACATATGCATTGTCTTATTTCATTCTCAGTCATAACGACTCTGTGAGATGGTGGATTACGTGTTGTTATCTCCATTTTCTGATGAGGAAATTGAAACTCAGGGAGATCAAATGACCAGCCCAAATGCATACTTCTAATCAGTAGATGGAAAATGATTGAACACATCTCATGACTCTAGATCCAGAGAGTCTTTTTACTACTTCATGTTGCCAGGTATAAAATAATGATTCTGTCTTATTTATTTCTGAATATTTGACATATTTAATTCTGCTCTTATCTTTTCACTTCCTTCCAGAAGATCTTTTTCTCTCAAAGAAGTATTTTAAGCCTCAACACTATCACATTCATTAATTTTATTACAGATTAAATTCTGTGGTAACAAAGTTACCAGAAATTGCTGTGTGTGAATATACTTTTTTTCCTTCAGAAGCTATCCAATAGCCCAGTTAAAAAAAAAAAAGAAATACATTCAATTTAAAATCCCAAATGAACTTAGACAATTTTTTTGTTTGTTACAATGGAATTTATTTTCCATGTTGTTTGGGACTCATACTACTTCTTGGATGAAAAACAGTTTTCCAGTAGAGATAAATGACCTCTTCCAAGAACAATGGAAATTGAAGGGAAAAAAAAAACAAAAACAAACAGATGCTCGAAAAGAGAAGAGTTATAAGCAGATTGGCTCACTTTATTTTTTTTGGTGAGGAAGATTGGCCCTGAGCTAATACCTGTTGCCAATCTTCCTTTTTGCTTGAGAAAGAGTGGCCCTTATCTAACATCTGTGTCCATCTTCCTCCGTTTTGTATATGGGATGCCTCCACAGCATGCCTTGACGAGTGGTGTGTAGGTCCATGCCCAGGATCCAAACTCGAGAACCCCAGGCCGCCGGAGTGGAGAGCATGAACTTAACCACTACACAATTGGGCCGGCCCCCGATTGGCTCACTTTAAAAGGTTGAGATAGCGATTCATAAAATAATAAATGAATGAATGAAAGAATGAATGAAAATGAAATAAGTAATAAGGCTACCTATTAGAATAGGCTGCAAAGAGTGGCTGTAAAACTTAATGTCAAAAAAAATATGAATGTAGTGAGTTACAAAATTCTCTCACCATAACTGACATGTGCAAAGAAAATGTAGCTCCTTTTTTCTTCAAAACTGCTCAGAGTTCCTCATGAGTCTCATCCCTCAGGATATCCAGGAAAATTCAGAGTTACCAATAAACAATATTCCAGTCTCTTCTGGTTTAAACAGTCTCTTTTCCATTTAGACATTCGGTCCAGTCCAAGTTCAACTGGCTATCATCTGGAGTGATATGAAAAGTCGCTTCAGGATGAAGCATTCCCTTGGAATAAATAGCCATTCAGAGCTTGCCTCTCCTTTCCTTCTCCCGCATGGCGTCTATATACCATGGGGAATCATGGGGAACTCTCTGTTCTCCTGGTATATCTGGACAGACTAGCTCCCCGGACTGGTGACTGCCGAGTGGTCCTCGTTCTGTCTGGCTTCTCCATCCTGCTATGCTGACCCCTCTACTGGAGCCTACAGCCTGATTTTTTGTCCCTGCACACTGTGGCCTTTCCTGCCAATCCCAGGTCTCTGCCAATCCTCACATCTCTTCAGAAACTCTGGTGCTCTCTCAGGGTTACAAGGGCTCCTTTGGTTGTGAAGAACTGGAAGCATGATCTTGGACTTATGGTGACGGATGGCCTTCCATCACCTCCACATCATTGTCCCTGGACCATGTGAAATGTGTCCTCAAGCTAAAAGCCTACAACCTCCTAGCATTAAGCCTGGAGAAGTTGTCAACCACCATGTCTTGCAATATCCTTTGGCTTCCCCAAGATGGTCTGGATCTCACCCCCATCTCGAATTTTTCTTTCCTGAGCCATTGGCTCTGACTTACTTTCTCTACCACCATCTCCCTTTGTCTCCTCATATTGTTTCATAAGTTCATATTGTTTCATAAGTGGAAGGAGTATTTTCTGTGCATTGGGGAAGAAACTGTAGATTAGAGTCTTCCAAGCTTGAACCTGATGTGTATTGGGAGTTAAAGGAATTCAGACTGGCTTTAAAGATTATTGTCTTAGCTGTTACATTTCTTTTGAATGTCAAAAGCCACATGTTCTTTTTTTCAAATTTGTGCTACAATAATTCTAAATCCTCTTGAGACAAATACATGCCTATGGCAGAACTGGGAGAGAGATCAGTACGTCAATGAAATTAAAAAAAAAAACTGTTATAAAAAACTGTTGTATTAAATGAGAAATATAAGAATATATTTTTGTTATAAATATTCAACAATAAAAAATATATAGTAAAAACAAAGACTCCATCTTGGCTTATACCCTACCATCCCACTATCATCTCCAGATATACCTGTTATTAATAGTTTATGGTATATCTTTCCAGACCATTTTCTTTCTTTTTTTTTTTTGTGAGGAAGACCGGCCCTTAGCTAATATCTATTGCCAATCCTCCTCCTTTTTTTCCCCTTTTTCTCCCCAAGGCCCTAGTAGATAGTTGTACGTCATAGTTGCACATCCTTCTAGTTGCTCTATGTGGGACGCCGCCTCAGCATGGCCGGACAAGCCGTGTATCGGTGCGCGCCCAGGATCCAAACCTGGGCTGCCAGTAGCGGAGCGTGTGCACTTAACAACTAAGCCACAGGGCCGGCCCCTCCCGACCATTTCTATGTGTTTATATACATATATATGTGAAGGTACAAATGTATAAGTTTCGCTTTTATGTTTACTGAAAGTAGCTTGATGATAGAATCATCTTTTACTCAACGATATGATTTGTAAATCATTCCATATCATTCCATATAGGTCAATCTCACATTTAAAAATTTATGTGTGGAAATCCATAGTATGGATAAATCATAATTTCCTCAACCATTTTCACGATGTACTTTAAGACTGTTTTATAACTCTTTGCTCTTGTAAACAGTGCCACAGACAACATCCTCCTTTACATCTCCTTGTACAGCATTTCAAGTGTTGCAAACACGGATGCCTTACCAAACCTAGTCTGGAAAGTGATGACATTCCATATCTGCCCTTTGGCTACCTGTAAACATGAGAAGCAATGCTGTCAGGGCTCCCCATTTTCAGATGCTAAGCCCCTGCTTTAACTTGGGTCATTATGCTTCATTTTTACCACTCAACCAGTTCCACTGAAATGGCACAATCTTCAACTTGTTTTTCTCTCTATCAAAAAAAGTACCACAGAATCAGTAGAATAAGGCAACTCCAACTTGTTGGAGTTGCCTCCAATACCAACTCCAATCAATGTATTGATCAATGTGCGAGCATATTTTTAGTATCATTGTTTCAGAGAATAAAGTTGAAACTCATAGCGCTTCATCCCAATAACTGCAGGAGGGTGGTGTTTTGCTTGGCCGTGGAGTCCTGGCTCTGGTTCTCTCAGTGGTGGTTATGCACTGCAGCAGCGTGCTTAGGTTACCGTCACCGTGAGGAAGACTTAAAATGATCACTCCCATTTGTACAGTGGGCCTCAATGGAGCACTGGCTTATCGTTAGAACACAGTGACCAGTTCTCTCGTTACACGTTTGTTGCTACCCAGTTTAGTGGTGACTCCACGCTCCCTTCTCTGCTTCCATTGCTTCTACCACTAGCAGCTGCATCATATTCTCTCTCTCATCCAAAGCACCCTCCAACAGAGCGCATATTCAGCACTTCCATCAGACAGAGCCTGTGCCAGGCTGTCTCATGGATCACTGGAGAGATGAGCCCCTTTGGGTCAGGTGCTCATCCCTAGTCCTATCAGATGTGGCCAGAGGAGTATGACCACATGCTATAAGGCTTAGAATTTAAGGACGTCTCAGAAGGGGACAGAGTAACTGGCAGGCACTTTGCATGCTGATCTGGTGTATCTGGAAAGGGCATGCTGCTAAAACTTTTGTCAGGAAACTGCTTGTCAGTATTTTCAGCCTGCAGAAACAACAGAGGGAACCACTTAGAGTCCATCTGATTATAATGTGTTTCTCAGAGAAATAAATAGCCCAAACTGAAGCACACTTCCGGTTGTCAACTTTTTACAAGCACCCTGGAACTCAATGACAGTTCTTGAAGATCGATATGGTCCTCTGACAGTGAATTGATTGTTCCAGCAGAGATCTTTAATGAGATTGTTCACACTATTAAGGAACCACCATCTCCAGCCTATTACAATGACAATGGTGAGACCTTGTGAACACAGAAAGCAAAGCAACTTTCCTGCTCATTTCTTTTTAAAAGCACCAACCCCTAGCAGCAAGGCCTTCTGGTTAATTAGTTGTTAATTATTGGGACAGCTCGTGAAATGTTTATTAAAGAGCTTGCCCACTGGCAAAGAAAAGAACCCAGAGCAAGAAACTGAATTGAAGAGTAATAAAAGGAATGAGTAAGCTTTTACACAGTTGACTGGCACCAAGGAGATTCTAGCAACTTACTCTTCTGGTACAAGATGACAGGTACTGTAGAAATGCATAGTGAACAGACAAGAATAGATGAAATATAATAGATGCACAGAGCTGGAAGGAACCTCAGTAATCATCTTTCCTTATTTTACAGACTGGGAAACGCACGTAGCAGAGCATAAATGAACTGCCCAAGGTCACGCTTCTAGTTGGTGTCCCAAGAAATCAATTCAGCCAGAGATCCCATCACCACCAGGCCCTGTTGAAAGGCGAGTGTTGGGGTATTTGACTTGGACCTCCCATTCACAAGGGCCATCTATTCTAGTGTTTTTTCTTTACCCTCAAATAAGGTTATAACATATACAGTCCTATGTCGCTTAACGATGGGATAAGTTCTGAGAAATTCATCGTTAGGTGATTTTGTCACTGTGCAAACATCATAGAGTGTACTTACACAAACCTAGATGGTATAGTCTACTACAAACCTAGGCTCTATGGTACTAATCTTATGGGACCACTGTCGTATATGCTATCTGTCATTGACTGAAACGTTGTTATGTGGCATATGACCGTATAGTCAAAGCAACACATTGACAGATTTAGAATTATCCTTCATATAACTTTAAACTCGTGTTCTGTTACTGCATAACTAGACCACACTACTTTTGATGCATTATAAATTAATACCTTTAAAATAAATTCTGTGTGAACAATTACATTGTCATTTGTTTTTTTGCTGTTACAAGTTAATTTGTTACATGTGTATATTTAAAATACACCACAGTTTTTGTAACCCTGTTTTGGCATTTTAAATTTTGTGTTTCTTTTTTTTTCATTGTAAATATAATTTATTTTTATTGACGTATAATTGACATATAACATTGTAGTGGTTTCAGGTGTACCACATAATGATTCAATATTTGTATATATTGTGAAATGATCACCACCATAAGTCTAGTTAATATCCATCTCCATACACAGTTACAAAAATTTTTTTTCTTGTGATGATGACTTAACAAAATCTACTCTCTTAGCAACTTTCAAATATGCCATACAATGTTATTAACTATAGCCACTGTACTGTACATTAGATCCCCATGACTTATCCATTTTATAACTGGAAGTGTGTACCTTTTGCCCTCCTTCACCCATTTCACCTGTGCCCCACCATTTTGTCTTTATTTTTTTAATGTTCTGAACTCTCCAAAAACGTAAATGGCCCAGACCTCTGAAAGCCTCTTAGAGGTCTTCTTCACTGCTCCACACTCTGTCTTTATAGAACATCACATTCATAAGTGATTTAAGTTTACAGTGTCGGGTTATAATGTTCTTAACAGTAGGGTGTCTTAGTCCATTTGGGCTGCCATAACAGAATATCATAGACTGGTGGCTTATAAACAGCAAACGTTTATTTCTTACAGTCCTGGAGGCTGGGAAGTCCAAGATCAAGGCACTGGCAGACTCAGTGTCTAGAGGACCCATGTCCTGGTTCATAGGTGGCTGTCTTCTTGCTGTGTCCTCACATGTTGGCAGGGGCAAGGGAGCTCTCTGGGGTCTCTTTTATAAGGGCGCTAATCCCACTCATGAGGGCTCTGCCCTCATGACCTAATCACTTCCCAAAGGCCCCACCTCCAAATACCATCATGTTGGGTGTTAGGATTTAACATTTGAATTTTGGGAAGTCACAAACATTTAGTCTGTAGCACAGGGCATTCTGTGTTGCCTATCTATAGGGTTATTGTATGGAACCCAGAATCTTGCTATCTATCTCCTGGTGGGTGTAGACTACCTGGATGCTACTCTTGATAAAATCTTTGGAAAGAAAAGTTTATATTTTCATTCTCTTGTTAGCCATGGTGATCTATTGGGGCAGCTCTGTAATATGCCTTCAAACCTATTCCCAAGCACAATCATCTTTTAACTTTGTATTGCAGGTGAAAAAAAAAAAATAATGTGGGATTAAAGTGAGGATGTTGTTAAATATACTTTTATCCTCACTTGAAAACTTGCTGTAAAATGTTGTCTTTTCATTCTTGCCTTCTGCTTTCAGAAGCTGTTTGGAAAGCATTGCTAGATTATGTCAAATTTATAATGAAACTCTGTGGAGACTCTATGCAGCATATGAGAACTGAAAGGAAAGATGCATCCTATTCTTGAGGAAAGCCAGCCCTGGTGGTCAAGTGGTCAAAATTCGGTGCTCTCACCTCCGCGGCGGGTGAGAACTGGGATCGTTTCCTGGTCAAAGAACCACACCACCCATCTGTCAATTGTCATACTGTGGCAGCTGCATGTTGCTGTGATGCTGAAAGCTATGCTACCAGGATTTCAAATACCAGTAGGGTCACCCATGGTGGATGGGCTTCAGCGGAGCTTCCAGACTAAGACAGACCAGGAAGAAGGATCTGGCCATTCACTTCTGAAAAAATTGGCCATGAAAACCTATGAACAGCAGTGGAACACTGTCTGATACAGTGCTGGAAGGTGAGAGGTTGGAGTAAAAAGCCTGGGCAGGGTTGTGCTGTGCAGTACACGGGGTCCCTAGGAGTCTGAATCAACTCAACGGCACTAACAACAACAATAAATTCTTGAGGAAACTTCTAAGTCCCCTACACTGACCCTGTTACGTGGTACAGGTGTCCAGCCCCACCTGACTCTCCCAATACTTCTCTTCTTGTCTTGTTCCTTTTCCAAGTTCTACTGCCCGAACTCAGTGGTTCTCAAACTTCAGCCTGTATAAAGATCACATGGAGGACTGGTGTAAAATGCAGAATTCAGCTTCCTTCCCAGAGATTCTGATTCATTAGGTCTGAGGTGGGGCCCAGTAATCTGCATTTTTAAGAAACACTGTAGGAATTTCTATTGCAAGCATCCTAGGACCACACTTGAGGAACACTGATCTGAACTCATTTTCTCGCTATGTCCCTTGGAAGGATGCGTGTCCTCATCTCTCCGAATTATGGGCTTTATCTCTCCATTTCGGTGATTCACTTGTGGAATAGATAGTCTGATGCCCCTATTCACCCAACTTGACTTCCAAGATTTGTCTCCCCTCACCTTGCCTCTGGCAGAGAGGATAGAAGGAGCCTGGGAAAGAGCAGATCCCCATCAGAATCTGTCTACCAACCTCTTACTTGCATTGCACGTGAACATTCTTTTGAATGGATCTGGAAAAAGCCCAGGCCATCTGGGGCCAGTTCTGGTGAACTGGGTTTATGATCAAGTGGGGAATTACTGTTCAGAATCAAAAGCTACTCCTAACTATAACACATATCATGACTGACATTCTGGCTTGAGTTGTAAATGCATCTAAGACACCAGATGGAGTAATTAAAAAACATTCTCTGCAATGATGGTGGAAATCACATCCAGGCTGCCCCAAAATGGACTAATAGGTTGCTTACAACTTCCTGCTGTTCCAATTGGTTGGGCAGCCATTTTTATTAGTTAAGTATCTCTTTTGATTGGTTGGTACCTTTGCTATGCTAGTTGTTAAATATTTGCACTACTGGAATCAGTATATGATTTTTCTCTTGAGGGACAAAACTCCTGAGACTATTTCAATTCTGAGTGTTTTTTAAAAATCCAATCTTCTGAATTAATAGCCATACTTTGTAAGTCACATAAGTCATATGACTCACTAAACGAAGTTACTATTTGTCTTATTTATTCTACACATTAACTCATTTGGGCTCGATGCATGAAAATCGCCATGCTCTTGTGCCTACTGTTACAGGCATTACCTTCCAAAGCATGCATGAGGTTGGTGATTTAATACCCCAAATACTCCAGCAAAAAGATGGCTTTTACTTTCCTGGCCACATTCTTAGCTTGGATTCCTACAGAAGATACTCTGCTGATTCATTTCCTGATGGTTCACTCAAGTCGATTGTTTTATTCTCTCAAAGAAATTATAAATTGCAGTTTGTTTAGGGTTGGGTGATCATGGGGTGGGCTAGAGTTTACAGTTGAGAAAGACTGCTTTAGCTTATTATAAGAAGCGTACGATTTAGTTTCACTGAATAGGCTGAGGAAATATTTATAAATAATTATATGTCTGGGTAAGTGTGTATATATATAGTTATATTTATTTTTAACCACACATAGAATTTAAATTAAATACAAACATATTCATACAAATGGTAATGCAAAAGCTACCATACCACTTAAAAATTATTTATTTAAGCTACAATTTTGGGGGTAAGAAGAGCGGTCAATTCTCAGTCTTCATTTTACCTGGCTTATCAGTGGAGCACTTGACAAAACTGACTCCTTCCTTCATTTTGCTTCCAGAACATCATGTTATGTTGGTTTTCCTCCTACTGCCCTAGCTGCACCATCTGTTAGTTGCTTTTGCTTATTCCTCCTCTTCTGCCCATCCTCTTAGCAGTGGAGTGATTAGGATTTAATCCTTGGAGCTCATCTCCTGCTACATTCACTCCCCCCAGTTCCTGATTTGTATATCCAATTGCCTAGTCAACATTTCCCCTGGATGTCTAACAGATATTGCAAACTAAATTTGTCCAAGACAAAATTCTTAATTTACAACCTTCTCCCAATCTGCTCCTCCTGTACTTTTTCCTGTCTTAGCAGAAGGCCACTACATCATTCCCCTTACTCAGGCCAAAACCACAAAGTCATATCTGACTGCTCTTCTTTTCTCATACTCTATGTGGAATCCATCAGCAAATCCCATTGGCTCTTCCTTCGAAATATAATCTGCCATCCTCACAACCTCCATCACTTTCCTGGTCCAGGCCTCTGTAATCTCTCTATAATTGCCATGGGCTAATTACTAGACTCCTGGTCTCTTGTCCCCCTCAGTCTCTTCTCAGCAAAGCAACTAGAGTGATCTTGTTAATACTTAAATCTAACCATATCAACTTTTTCTCAAAACCCTCCAATAGTTTCCAAAATCACTCAGTACAAAAGCCAAAGTCCCTTCAATTGCCTGTAAAGCCCTATCCTCCCCCACCATCTCTAACCTCATCACCAATACTTTCACACTTGTTCATTCTGCTCCAGCCCCACCACCTCCTCTGCTGTTCCTCCAAAATCCCAAAGATGATGCCACCCCTGTCTTCTTGTCATGGAAATCTCTTCCCCCAGATACCACTCTCTCTCTGCCCTCAGATCTTTGATCAAATGTCACCTTCTCCATGAAACTTTCCCTGACCATCTTATTTAAAGTGCAATCCTTCCCCCACCCCTTGCAATCTCAATCCCCCTGCCCTGCTTTGATTTCCTTTCATAGCACTTATCACCAACTGACGTACAGTTTATTTATTTATTTGATTGTTGTCTGCCTCCCCACATTAGGAATTAAGATTCGTGAGAGCAGGGATTTTTGTAGGCTTTGGAAATTAGTATTTTTTAGCGCCAAGAACAGTGTGCCTGGTAGATACTCAACAACTTTTTGTTGAAAAAAATAATGGTATATCACAATTAAAATACGTAAGTACATGAATTAAACATACATACTGTGGTCACCAGTCTCCAGGATGTACTCCAGTGACCCTTACCTCCCGCTAGTCATGCCCTTGCATAGTCTCCCTTCCATATTGTATTGGGGTTAGTCTGAGTGACCAATAGAATATATGATGGTGCATGTCTTCTGCAACAAGATTGTAAAAGGTGGTACAGTTTCCACCTTGCTATCTTGGATCACTGACCCTGGGGGAAACCAGTGGCAATGTCATGAGAACACTCAGCTGCCCTATGAAGTGGTTCACATGGCAAGTAACTGAGACCTCCATCCAACACCCAACACTGTTTTGCCAGCTATGTGAGTGAGTCATCTTGGACGTGGATTCTCCAACCCCAATTAAGCCTTCAAATGGCTGCCACCCTGGCCAACATCTTGACTTCAACCTCATGAGAGATCCTAAGCCAGAACTACTCAGCTAAGCTGTTCCCAAATTCCTTACCCACAGTGACTATGTGAGATTTAAAATATTTATTTCTTTAAGCCACTAATCTTAGGGTAATTTGTTATGCAGATATAGTAACTAATATAGATTTTTTTAACCTGGAAGTAGGATGTTGCTGTAACCAAAGTCTAAAGTGTGGGAGAAGCTTTGGAAATGAACAGTGAGTAGAAGTCAGAAGGACTGAGGAGAGTGCTTTTGAAGAGAATGTTAGCAGAAGCTTGATCGCCTTTGAGGAGGCTGGTAGTGAGAGCTTAAGGGAAAGTGAGGAAAATGTTATCGGACACCAGAGAAAAGGGAGTCCTTGTTATGTAGTGGCAGAAAATTTAGCAGTGCTATTGCCTGTGATAACATGGAAAGAAGAAAACGTACCTAATGAACTGGGGGATCTAACTAAGGAGATATCCAGGAAGATTACTAAAGGTGCTCCCTGGTTTAGTCTGGCTATAAAATTTGAGAGATGACAAATAAGCTAAAAGGAGAACTGTTAATCAAAAAAGAGCTGGGAATTTCTGGATTTGAAAATTTCCACTCTCTCCAGATGTCAAATGATACTAAAACTTAGAAATGGCTTCTGGGCAAAGATCAAATCTAAAGGTCTCTCAGGAAGGCATGACATAAAATGAAGCCATGATTGTGACTGTAAAATCCTTGGTAAGACCTCAGAAAGATCCAAGGCAGTGCCTTAGAGAACTGTTGAGTCAAACAACAGGGCTTCTAATGGGCTTAAGGGTAATGTGCCTGAGCAATCTCAGCAGAAGCTCAGGACACACAAGAGCTTATTTCAAGAGTTTTGTGGGTGTGGCTTTTGACTAATGTAGTGAACATCAAGAATATTTATAGGCAATCCACAAAGTTTTAAGAGAAGAATATTGGTAAAACTATCTCCAGTGTGGATTGAAAGAGACAAAGACAATACAAAATGAAGAGGCCTTTGGACCCCAAACTTTATGGGCAAGAAGAAGTCTGAGAAAGCTTCTGAGCTGCAAACCTTCCATGGAAAAAGAAGGATATCTCAGAGGACAAAACTATGAGCCCAGAGGGTAAAGTTAGCAGCCATAGAGAATTATTACCAGGACTTGACTTCCAGTCAAGGAATTACCAACAAATGCCCTGCTGAATTTCAGAATTTCTATGGATCATTGACTCCATTGTGTCTCTCTTCCCCCTTGTGATTTTTGTATGCCTATGCTACCATTGTATATTGGGTTTGTTGGGGACTTGGGGAGAAGATAACTTATTTCTTTATTTCGCAGGCCTTCAAATCAAGAAAAACTGTTACTCAAGGAATTGGACTTGAAGAGCCTCATCTGCACATGGACCTGATTTAGATGACAAGAGTCTGGACTCTGAGCTGATGCTATGATGAGATGAGAGTTTGGGGGACTTTGAAAGGAGATGAGTATGTTTTGCATGTGAAAGGGCATGAATAATTTAGAAGATGGACCGTGATAGCCAATCTCTAAGATGGCCCTCAATGGTCCTCTCCTCCTGAAATTCATGCCCTGTGTAGTCAGTCCCCTTCCACAATGAACAGGGGCTGATCTATGTCACTAAGAGGGATATTTTGAAAAGATGCTATAGGACTTTAGTGGCCAGGTTATAAAAGACATCACAAGTTTTGCCTTGCTCTCATGGATCACTCACCTGGGAGAAACCAGCTGACGTAACATAAGGATATTCAAGTAGCCCTATGCTTGAATTCCTTACCTACGGAAACTGTATGAGATAAATGTTTATTGTCGTCTTAAGCTGCTAAGTTTTGGGGTAATTTTGTATACAGCAATAGATAACTAGTACACATAAAACCTATAAGTTCAGCTGTATCTTTGGAAACTTAGATCTCAAGACGTCACTGGCCAGTCCTAGAATACTAACCTTAAATGTGATGCAGGCTGACTGTCCATTCATGGACTATCAGATGGTTGTGTGTGTTTTCAAGGAAAGACTACTTCATTTTCTATTATTCTTAACATATTTTATGTGTAAAGTTTCATGGAAAGATGAGGTACAGTACAGTTATGAGTACAGAATATGAGTTCACCAGATCAAGAAGTATATCAGTTAATTATTGTTATGTGACAATGGCCTCAAAACATAGTGGTTTAGTAAATTGATTTTTGACTAGGATTCTAAGACCATTCAATGGGGAAAGAATAGTCTTTTAAACAAATAATGTTAGGAGAACTAGATATCCACGTGCAAAGAATGAAATTGGACCCTTACCTCACACCATATACAAAAATTAATGCAAATTAGATCAAAGACCTAAGTGAAGAGCTAAAACCATAAGTCTTAGAAGAATATATAAAGGTAGATCTTCATGACCTTGGATTTGGCAACAGTTTCTTTGATATAACACCAAAGCACAAGAAACAAAAGAAAAAAATAGATAAATTGCACTTGATCAAAATTAAAAACTTTTGTGCATCAAAAGACACTATCAAGAAAGTGAAAAGACAACCCACAAAATGAGAGAAAATATTTGCAAGTCATATATCTGATAAGGGGCTAGTATCCAGACTTCATAAAGGACACTTACAACTCAACAACAGAAAGACAACAACACAATTTTAAAAATGGGCAAAGCCCTTGAATAGACACAGACATTTCTCCAAAGATATACAAATGACCAACAAGCAAATGAAAAGATGCACATCATTACTTGTCAGAGAAATGAGAATGAAAACCACGATAAAGTATCACTTCACACCCACTTGGATGGCTATAAAAAAAAAAAAGAGACAGAGAAAATAACAAATGTTGGTGAAAATATGAAGAAAAGATGTGGAGAGATTGGAACCCTTGTACATTGCCAGTGAAAATGTAAAATGGTGCAGCTGTTGTGGAAACTCATTTGGTGATTCCTCTATAAATTAAACATAGAATTGCCGTATGACCCAGGAAATCCAGTCTTAGGTATATACTCAAAAGAATTGAAAATAGTTGAAAAACAATTGTTCAAACAAGAATTTGTACACAAATATTCATAGCAGCACTGTTCACGATAGCCAAAAGGTAGAAATAACCCACATGTTTATTAACTGATGAATGGATAAACAAAATGTGACAAAATGTGGTATATTCATACAATGAAATATTATTTGGTAATAAAAAGTGATGAACTACTGATATATGCTATAACATAGATGAATGAACCTTGAAAATATGCTGAATGAGAGAAGCCAGACACAAAAAGCCACATACTGTATGATTTCATTTATATGAAATATCCAAATAGGGAAATCCATGGAGAGAAAACAGTTTAGTTGTTTTCAGGGGCTGGAGGGAGGGGGTAATGGAGAGTGACTGCTTAATGGTTATGAGGTTTCCTTTTGGGGTGATGAAAATATTCTTGAACTGGTAGAAGTGATGGTTGTACAACATGATGATTATACTGAATACCACTGAATTGTACACTTTAAAATGGTTAAAATCGTAAACTTTATGTTATGTAAAAACAACAAAAAACATAGTGTCTTGAAACAACAATAATTTATTAATAATTCTGGGCTTCTCTTCTGTTGGTTTCACCCGGGTTTACCCATGTGTCTGTATTCAACTACAGACTATTCAGCAAGTAGACTGGAAGGTCCAAGCTAGCCTCACTCACATGCCTGGCAGTACTTCCTCAGGTGGCCTCCCCTATTTCCCTAGTCTAGACTGGTTTTCTTACACAGCAGTCTCCGGCAAGTTATAGGAAAACTACAAGGCTTTTTGAGGCTTTGGCCTGGAACTCACACAGCATCACTTCCATCTTCATCTAAGCAATTTGTAAGACTGGACCAGATTAAAGGAGGGGAAAATACATATCACTTCTTAATTGGAAGAACAGCAAAGCCACCACGCAAAGACGCCATGCAAAGAGAAATTATCGTAGCCATTGTTGCAAACAATCTACCACAAGTAGCATTTATCTCATTCTCATCTTTTAATGTGTATTTTATTAGATTTTTATTTTTTGGACTAAGACAAATGATGGATTGAAAAACCAAATAGCTTGGCTTAATTTAGACAACATTTAAGGAACACATTTGTGATAAAAGTACCACTTTTTCCAGGATTTGGCTTAAAGCAACTTCCATTTTTGGAATTCTAGTGGGTTCTTTCTTGCTCTTAGATTCCAAGAAACTGCAGTGATACTCTATACTCTCTTATAACTTTGGACTGCCTTTAATTAGATTTCTGTTTTGCAGAAATTCACACACACATACACACACCTGCTCTCTATGATTATATGTATATTGTCCCATGAGAATAACAATAATTCAATTTCAAAAGTACCTGATTGCGTTTTTACTTGACTGCAGAAATGGCACCCCCGTGGTAATTTTTCTTTTCCAAGCCTAGCTCTCATGCATCTTGCATAAATTATTGGTGATCCTTAAGCAATTGTTAAGTGAACGAATCAATCCAACGGTAGGTAAATATTTGTGGTTTGGAGTTATTTTGAATAATGCCAGTAGGTTTTCAGTTTATGACCGAGCGATCTGTTGCCAATTAAAAGAATAACAGAATGAGGTGGAGAAAGTTGCGAGAAACGTTAGATGGAGGAGGTTTCTTCAGAGGGAGCTGCTGTGTATTTTATTTTCTGTATGGCCTGACTATCAAGTGGACCTTAGCTATAACCAGGAAACACATTCCCCTGATTACATGTGAATGTGAATGTATCATTTGTAAGTGGTCGGACTCTTCTGAAAGGACGCCAGGCCCAGACTTCAAGAAGCATATGGTGAAGTACTGGGGGACAGGAACAGAAGGTGGATCCTAGCTACAATTTTGCTCTCGTACTTTTAAACTCTCCTGAAGTTTTCACATCAATGAGATGAACTTAGTTCCAATAGTTTTCTTGCAAATACACCCCATGAAGTGTCCCTACGGTTAAATCTCCAAGTTGGAGAAGAGATGTGGAATGCCCCAGTGTGATAAAAACAGATCTGACTTGTAACTTTGGCTTCCGCATCTGTCAAGTGATGAAAATGAATACAGCAGTAGCTACACACCTCTCTCACTTCCTCTCTCCTGTTCAAGGAGGACTGTGAGAACTAACAGTTGATCAGAAAGCAAAGTAACAATGGTATATCACAGAGGAGTGAACTTGCAGTGAGATCTGTGAAATCTGGCAAAGCACAGGAAGTGTCCAATTCTGCTAGATTGGATTGGTGTTAAGGCAGTTCACATCTTCAGAGCTTGAGATTGTCCAGAATCCTTTTGGCTAAGGAATGCCAATGACAAGGGGAATCCCTGACTCACTATTTGCATATAGATTTAGAAAGAAATGCAGATTGGATCATTTGGTTTCTGTGTAACTTTATAGTCAAAATGAAACTAGAATGTGAATATTAGAGTGTGTGAACCTTCTTAGCATGAAGCTTGACTGCTGTGGCATTTAGGAAACCGCGCTGTGTAATAGCAGCACTCAATATATACATTGTCCTTGCAACAAGCAACCACTGATGCTCAGACCCTGGTGTTCAGTAGGATCCAGCAACCCATTGTTTGCATACAAGGGTGTAAGAAATAACAATATTCATTGCACATGTTCTTTGTGTTTGATCCTAGTCCTCTGTGAATGGATTCACTGAAAAAAACATAGTTTTAAAGATATAATGTATTGATTTTTTTCTTTGGTAAATAGGAGTTATAATACATGTTCATCATTAAAACAAGTTGGAATAGAAGGAAGACTGTGCTACCCAATCACAACCACCGTTGACTTGTGTACAGTAGGTTTCTCTAACTGAATCTCTGCTTAGGGAACCCACCAGATTAATTTACGCAGCTTCCACTCTGTAAAGCATATGTCTGACGCCCTCAGCAAGCTTAACACATGGCATTGGCATTCTCAGAGTGCATCTGGGCATTTTTTCCACCAGTTGTGTTGTCTATTTACCAAGAGTCAGTTTGTTTGTTCCCCGCCATGTTTAAAAAGGTTGCAATTGAAAATTTGTAATGTAATTAGGAATTACGTAAATGGATGAAAATATAATGCAGAAAGAACATTCTTAAGAAAACTCAGTTGTTTTGAAAAGACTTGATGAGCCACACCAAAAAAAAAAGAATATATATATATATATAGTTAGATGAGGTATGAACAAGCAACTATAAAAGACAAAGTAAATCATTAAAATCTAGCAGGATTTGCCCTCTGATCTCTTTGAAAGTGTCTTTAAGTTCTTGCTTCACTTGAAAGAAACTGAAAAATTGTAGCTGATGCATTAAGGGTGAGAGACTGAGTAGTTGGATATTGTGATTTATAATAATAAATATATATTTGGTTTTCGCCCCAGTTTCTGGCACAGAGCTCCTGAAATACTTGGAATTTCCTAAGTGACGAGAGCGATGAAGGTGCCGTTAGTTACATTAACGAGATGACTTTTGGAAAGCCCCTAGGTCACCTAAGAATGGGGGCTGGTTGGGAGAACCAACCTTGTGATTAGAGGTTGGAACTTTCAGTCTCACCCCCAGACCTCTGGGGAGAGGAGAGGTCTAGAGATTGAGTTCAATCACCAATGGCCAAAGATTTAATCAATCATGCCTATGTAACAGAACCTCCATAAAAACCCAAAAGGAGGGAGTTTGGAGAGTTTCCAGGTTGGTGAACATGTGGGGATTTGAGGAGAGGGAGCAGCTTGGGGAGGACATGGAAGCTCCATACTCTTTCCCCACACTATGCATTTCTTCCATATGGCTGTTCCTGAGTTAACATCCTTTTATAATAAACCAGTGGTCTAGTAAGTGAAATATTTCTCTGAAGTCTCTGAGCCACTCCAGCAAATTAATCAAACCCAAAGAGGGGGTGGTTGGAACTTCCAATCTATAGTTGGTAGGTCAGAAGCAGAGGTGACAATCTGGGCTGGCAACTGACATCTGAAGTTGGGGGGAGGGGATTCTTGTGCGACTGAGCCCATAACCTGTGGGATCTGATGACAGAATTGAGTTGAATTGTAGCACACCCAGCTGGTGTCAGAGAATTAATTATTTGGCTGTAAGGGGAAAATACCCACACATTGGAATTGGTACCAGAATCATTACTTGGTGTTAGAATTGGAGTTGGTGATCAAAGTGGATCAGAGTCAGATATAGGTATAGGTATAAAATGCAAAATGAGTGGAGAGACACTTATCAGGACACTTATACCCAAAGACAAAAAAAAGAAACCCAATAAAAACAGTAAATCCA